CGACTGGTACTTCATGACATCGCTCTCAGATGTTACGACTACCACAAGAGAAAATGTCTGTTGTTTAAGTTGACGCGGCTCTCAAGATAAAAGTTCTACAATTAAGGTGGCTCACACCCTCTGCGCGCGCATGGTTTGAAAAGTGTCGATTTTCAGGAAAATTTTCGGTAGCGATGATTTTCGTGTGAACAATCGTTGTAGGAAACGTCTTCTCGCTTTTCTGCAATTCTGGCGACCTAGCTATAACCTGCTGCTAGTGTCCCTCTTCACTCGTTCTTTCTATGAAAGGGGAAGGCAGCACTCGCAGAAGATTTTCCCAGAATGCAATGTCGACTTGTGCTCGTACCATAAGAAGGGAGAAATCAGAGTCCGCTCTTGAATCATGCCTGAGTATTGGAAAATTATTTCAGAACACGCTTGTGTAGATTTCCTGTCAGTGCCACTGATTATAACTTGCTCGATCATCTCCCGCACTGACTGGAAAATTCGCCAGGTAGCTGTGGATGGATCGATTCAGGGAGATCGAAGGTAAATATATCGAAACACTTCAAACACGTTCATGAGGTCCGGCAGCTCTCGAGTGATGCAGAGTTGAATGAACTCTGGACCTGTGAAAGCGTGAGTGCAAGAACTCCGCTTCCTCGCTGATTTATTTTGTACCTTTTCTTGTAACCTTGCTTCCCGTCTTCGACTCGCTTCACCAGATTCCATTGCTGAACTTTGTTTCTTGTGGCGGAGAGTATTCATGTATCATGCTTCCTCACTGTGGCTATTGGAAATTTCACATAGCGGTAACAAAACTCAAGTTCTTAGTGGCGATAGATAAGCAACAATTGCAATAAGCCGGACCAAGCCTTCAAATTATGTAATTGTGTCTTGAAAATTGTTTAGAACAATTCGTACTTCAATACGCTGTTGAATTGTGTCCTCTGCTTGGGAGTCTCAACTGTTTTATTGCTGCATGGCTTTCTTCAACACCGTTCACTGTACATGCATCGCAAAACGCAGATTGGATGGCATTGGAGGTGAATTTGATAATTTGTGACTGGGTCATCAACCAAATGAGGCCATCAAATATCAACAGGGACGCTCCGAAAATCACAAACGCTGCGAAATAGATATGAAATGGTCTTACACACTGGATGGTATTCCACATTCATTGTGTCATATCTTTAGACTTTCCAAAGGTTTGTCGTGCCGTGCAACTTTCACAGACTAATCCGATGATTGGCATGTGGCCCTACCAGCACACTCTCATGCCTATGCCGTTGAGTTTACCTATATGTGCACGCACATGTGTGTACTTCTTCCGTATACAAAAACTTCGTGACATTTTTTTGAAAGCTGCGCACGGCTCTGGAATTGTTCCGTTGGACTCGAAATAACACTTGTGGCATTGTCTAACCTGTTTACAAGCTATATACAAAGAAAAAAGCAACTCAGACGAATGAGATTGAGTTTTTTCAGAGTCTTCGTCGCTCATGTCATTGTCACCTGACGACGCTGACTCCGCATCGCCAACAGTCGCTGCTTCCGCTCGCATTTCGGTCAGATTCTTGTCACCTGCAGTGATGATCCGACGCTGGACTTTGGCTACGTCCTCTTCATCTCTAGAGCTCTGTACAAACCGGTGTCGACTAGATTCAGTCGTTCCAACCCGCGACCTCCATTATGCCGTGAAACGAGTCGTACAAGCTCATCCACACGCTTCGCATTTTCTCACCAGGATAATCCTCCCAAGCATTCTACAATGGCTTCGAGGAGGTCCCTGCAATTCCCCTTGGCGACAAAGGAGACGTCTGACTGGAGAGAGGCGAAGAAAGCCAGGCCATCGACATTCTGATCCTGAGTCTGCCCTGGTTGCACGACGACTGAAAAGTTTCATCTTGCCGTGCGAGCGAAACAAATCTATGTTCTCACGCTGCGTAGATCTATTGGGCCGCGCACTGCAAGTACGAGCCTAGCCAGTTAGACGAGCTACACTTCGTCACTGTGTCAGTTTCGAGCAAGTAAGTGTTAGTTTTTTTTCATTTGACTCTTTGAGTTTCTGTCGGCAACGTCCTCACACGCATGGTGTCCGTGGAGAATCTGTTCGGGATCAACCGAACTAAACTCGACATGGACGTGGGTTGTCGATGACAGCCTTTGGCGCCGTTCGTTGAGCAGGTTCTTGCTCAAAAACACCGTTCAAAAAAAGTCACGAAGTTTTTGTATACGGATGAAGTGTACATATAAAATATTATTACGTATGCAAAATTAGGCAAGGTACATCTATAATTATGTGTGTGCACTCACTCCTATGACATAGAACGACAGTGCAGGCTATGTAACGTCGCATGAATGTGTGTCACCTGGGTGTGTACATGCATGCGCACTCCCGCGGGCGTTTTGTGTGCGCGCCTGGCATGGCGTAACGCCGTTCAATATGACTAGTGTTGAACCGTTGTAATTATTATTATTATTATCAAATTTTTGATAGGGCAATCCCCACAGGCCTAAGGCCTTCTTACAGGGTACCCTAAAGTAATTAGCCCCCACTCCCTCTTTTTTCTGCTGGCGTTGGATATGCAACTAATGACATAAACTCGGTTGTTGAAAACGAGTACCATGCACCACAATGGATTGACAATAATATAATACAAATAGCACTGTAAAAGCGCTGGTAATACTCATGTTCAAGCCATGGCAGTTGTGATTAGCTTTCCAAGTCAAGCCTGCTGCAGAAATTATTGCACTCTGAACAGCTGGAGTGGCCCGGGACTGCCAGTTGTGGAGAACAGGAGTGATGCTTGTATATACGCTTGTATTTACATGATGTACACAGTGTACTTCGAAGTAACTTTAGGTGTATTACTTGTGTGTTCTTCTGCCTGTGCGCGTGTACATGTGCTGGTCAGTGTGAAACCGCCATCCATATCAGATCATACAGCTGCTATCAGTCTCAACAGCTTGTATCTGGCAAATAGGGTTTTAGTGACTCGATTTTGCTTACTGTGTTCAACAGAGTGGCATTGCACACAGCTACTTGATGTAATAGTAGCATCTTGGAAATTATATATTTTTGATAGTTAGCTTCAGTAGAAACTTCTCCAGTGTGGCTCTTAGCTTCATTACCACGGAGACTAAGCATTCAAGTAATGCAAGAAGAACAGTGGCTATATGTAAAGTGAAATGCCATTGGACGGTACCCCACGGAATACGCATTTAGTATAGAAATATTTCTTGCTATGTTGGCAGCAAACACTGTATAATATATAAATTAAATTACCTGAAAAGTTGCCTGACGACTGAAAAACTCAAGAAACTCGGAGTAGCAACGGATTGTGTTTTCTTGGTGAGGACCGCTTCCATTGTAAATTAAATTACCAGTAGAAAGTGCCCAATGTGCATTGCTTCAGCACTATTTTTTCGACAAAGCAGTCAACAAATTCCACATCACTATCGGCTTCATGTTGGAGAAAGTTGTGAAAAACAATAGAGCATACATGTACACTCAATATAATGCACATGCTCAGCTACATGTATGGCATTTAGTATGTGGGCGACTTCAAAGTTCTATTTTGGTAGTTTGCTTCGGTAGAAACTGTCTAAACTTGATCCAAAGCTCTAATACTATGTTCTGAAGATGTTGCAATCAAGTAATGTCAGACACGTATCTGCCGCATTGGAGCTAGTTGTGAAAACCTTTGGACCATACACTCAATGCACATGTTCAGCTATGGCCTTTAGTATGTGGGCGACTTCAAAGTTCTATTTTGGTAGTTAGCTTGGGTGGAAACTGCTAAAACTTGATCCAAAGCCCTACTACTATGTTCGGAAGATGTTGCAATCAATTATTGTAAGACACGTATCTGTCATATGGTGAAGTCAGGGGTCCTAAGGCGTTGGACAATGTCCCAGTGCAATGTGCTGATTCTTGAAATATGGCATCACTTGAAACTTCAAAGTTTTATTTCACAAGTTACCTTCGGTAGAACCTGCTCAAACGTGCTACACAGTACCATTATTAGGTTATGATAGCATAACCATCGAATACAGGGCAAGTCCAGTGTCAAATACTTGTAGGACGTGTGCGCTGAAATGGGATGATTCCGAAAAGAGAAAAAGGGTCACCTTCTACCAGAATTCTACCCATTTCTACAGCTGATGCTGATATTTAGCAAGTATACTACTGTCCTGATGTTGGACATCAAGAAAAAGGGGGTAACTACCAGTGCTACGGCCCAAAAAGTGGTTTCCGGTATTTTTTTGCCTAAATTGGCAATTGTGTGTATACCATGTTTGGCCCCTCCCCCGAGTGAAACCGGCTGGTGGACCCGAGGGGTAGGAGCCACTTTAAGAGAAACCATTAACACGAAAGAATGAAGTTGAAGACACCACTGCAGCTGTACTTATGGTTGATAAATATGGTGGTAAAGACCCACCTGGCAATATGGCGGTAAACACACGCCTGCCCACACACGCTCTCTAGGCTGCAAAGTTCTGGCACAGAGCTCTCCTTCTCACCACCACCACCATCAGTTCGCGCCTGGAGCCTGGTCGATGCATGGCTGGCGGTATTCGGCATAGCAGGCTGGTGCATCAAGTAGCGCATGGCACATAGATGATGACACAGCAACGACATACACTGTAACTCGATTGCGACCGACTTGATGTACCAGGCTACCAGCCTGCTATGCCGAATACCGCCAGCCATGCATGGTGGGTTTACGACGAAAGGGCGCGAGATTTTAGGGCGCTAAGACGTTTCGGCGCCCTCAGACGCCGCTGAGACACGAGGGCGCTGAGACATCACGGCGCTGAGACACGAGGGCGCTGAGACATCACGGCGGTGAGACACGTCGGGGGAGAGACGAATCGGCGCTAAACTGTATAATGTCGACCCATGTCGAATAACTTAACAAATCACCTCGGAATAAAACACAGGTACGTTCCCCCCCCCCCAATTATCCCAAGCAATGTTCTGATTTTCTAGTCATAACCGATAACCGAATCTGACTATGGCAGCTCAAACCGATGGTATTCACTTATCTACTACGAAGAAGAAGAAGAGACTCCTCATCCATGAGGGGTTTTCGTACACCAAGGACAAGGACGAACTACAGGACACGACTTACTGGAGGTGTGAGCGGCGAGGCGAATGCAAGGGACGCTGTAAAACTGTCAGGGATGACGTGTTCAAGACCGTTCCCCACTGCCACCCACCGGATGCGACGCGTGTCACAGTCGAGAAAGCCAAGGAGGAGCTACGGACAAGGGCCGCAACGACAATTGAGCCAACGATTGCCGTTCTGAGAGCTGCAACGAATGATATGTCTGCTGATTGCCTATCCTCGTTACCTAAGGCATCATCCCTTAAGAAATCTATCCAGCGCGAACGGCTTGCTGCCGGTAATCAATAGGCAATGGACGCCCTGTGGTAGTGGTGACATTCTGTCTCGGGGACGTGTGGTCCATACGCCTTACTGTCTGCGCGGCAAAATGTTCTCGCGCCTTACGGTGCAACGACCTATTGTCACAGACGCCGTCAAGTCTGGCGCCCAGGTGTACTTCGACCTACTGTTAGACGCCCTACTGTCGCGATCCCCATCGACCAGGCGCCTGGCGCGAACTGATGGTGGTGGTGGTGAGAAGGAGAGCTCTGTGCCAGAACCTTGCAGCCTAGAGAGCGTGTGTGGGCAGGCGTGTGTTTACCGCTATACTGCCAGGTGTGTCTTTACCACCATATTTATCAACCATAGGTACAGCTGCAGTGGTGTCTTCAACTTCATTCTCCCGAGTCAAGCTCCGTATGAAGACATCCAAGAAGAAGATTGCCTGATGAGTCCAGCGGGGACGAAACGTACGTCGCAATCGACCTATGTCGTTGCTGTGTCATCATCTATGTGCCATGCGCTACTTGATGTACCAGCCTGGTATGCCGAATACCGCCAGCCATGCATCGACCAGGCGCCAGGCGCGAACTGATGGTGGTGGTCGTGAGAAGGAGAGCTCTGTGCCAGAACTTCGCAGCCTAGAGAGCGTGTGTGGGCAGGCGTGTGTTTACCGCCATATTGCCAGGTGGGTCTTTACCACCATATTTATCAACCATTAACACGAAGACTGGCAATAAAAATCCAAGGACTAATACTAGCCATTACCTTAACACCTAGACTGTGATTAAAAGTCCAAGTTCTAAAAGTAACCAGGAAAGCGTAGACTGGCAATAGGACTTAGAGATTCAGAGACGGTTCCCACCGTCTCTCCGTGTGAACCACCTCATTTCCGAAGTAATACGTTGCATGTCATGGGAGGTGTCAGTACAAGTATGCATGGAAAAATGTAGCTGTATTGTTTATAGTTGCGGAAGGTATCGAAATTTCGACCACTTGCAGTGCGAGGCTTACATGCTGTCCTGACAATTCTGTAGAGAACTACCTGCATCATATACATGTAATGCAATGCAGTAGTATGTATTGGGCAGGATGTATTGCATATTTTGCAGGTTGATTGAGAACATGGCTGTCCGATGTACCTCATGTGATCTAGATGGTAGTGAGTCAGGTACGTGCTCAGACAATTTAATGAAAATTCCCCAATATTAACTTTGTCAAGTAACCCGCTTTTCTGGTTACAGTAACAATAAAATGAGATTTAAAAAATATTTTACTGTAACTCAGAGATGGGATTATCAGACATGTCACATTTTATTATCTTTAACATTATATCGTGGAACCCTCAGTTATCACTATCGACACGTGATCACAGGTACTCACATCTGTTGGAGGAAAGCGTGATTTTTCAAATATCCAAAACTTGGACACGTGCTCGGCTTAACTCTTGCCTACCGGGTGTTAGTTCATTAACATTTTTCTATAACATGAATATGTCCATACCAGAGGTGAGTGAAGGTCAGAGATTGGTATCAGCAACCGCTGCCTTACGATAGCCATATGGGTGGCATCGTCTGTGCGTAAATTCATATAATATAAGCTTGATCGTGCTCACGTTTTCTTTTTTGTCATACAGGTCCTTTAGTTCATGATCTAATGTAACACTCGAATTCCACCAATATTAATTGGGTGATTGATTTTTGGTCCAAAACCAAATTGTACCAACATCAACACTTGAAAGAAGGCATAAATTAACAGCGAATAATGGTATGTATTCAAGAAAAACCCAATAAAGGAGAAGAAAAGAAAGCGAGTGAAAGAAGTCTCACACGCTGAAAAGTATGAAACAGAGACCACCTAAAGGCGATCTAAATAATTATATCCCACTCAAACATGGATTAAACTCAGCCAGCATGCTTCCACGGAAATTCAAAGCAAAACATTCAACAAACATCAAAACAACAACAACAAGAATGGATCAGGGTTGAAAAGAAAAGAAATACATACAAAACATAACACGTCAAAAAACTACTAAGCTTCTACATAGGAAGCCATTATAAGCTTTGGCCGACTCAGAATTTTCATTACCAGATTGTAATTCGCGGCAATGTTCGAGTTTTTAATTCACACAAAAAACGGACGAGGTCTCTGACATCAAATCACTTTCGAACACGATGTGCAAGATTGCAGTGGGCTAATACGAACAATCCTTTTGTTTTATCTGAAGTTCAGAACGTCAAATATTTTACGAATTTGAACATGGAGACATGAAGAATCCTTGCAGCATTTCCGAAATATTCAGAATTCTCAACAAGTCTTCATTGCCAAAGTACAGCATGGAACTATTGACTTTTTACGAAAGCATCCTGTATAAAATTACCTTCCGTACATTTCCCTTCACTTCCAGAAGGAATAATATGTCCATTTCGAAGGATTTCCCGAAGATGTGGCTTTGATCATTCACAACCTTCTCGATACATAGACTTATTTTGAAAATGACGTCGTTCCAGCGCTTTGGTTTGGTTACAGTGTAGCTCGTACCCTTTGTTACTTCTACAATAACGCGCTGGAAGTCCTCAAAATGATTGAAAGCAAATTTACCAGGTTTGATCAGTGGAGGTCCCCACATGAGTGGTTTAGAAGAATATGTGAGCAGGTTTAAGCCGACCGGGATCGCCTCAAATTGGTTGGATGGTGGCAATTCGATCATCACTTCCACCCAACGCGTTGCTTCCTCTTGTGTTAAGCACCATATGCTATCTTCATGGGGCAGGACCAAATTCTCCAGACCGATGAAATCCAGGTATAAAGTGTCAATAATCCAGTGACATACACCTGCGTTATCATAGTACGTGTCAAAACAAAATACCCAAATGACAGTCAAGTAGTGTCCTGACTTTCCAAGATAGGATCCTACAGTCATCTTGATTCGGATTACAGGATTTTGCCGCCTCTCGTCTTTCACCCACTCCTTGCTATCAATAGCCGAAAGAGGAATTCGAGGATAATACGCTTCTCTAGAGTTACGTCGCCGAGGCTTATCAGGGTGAATGGTGCTAACTACGGATCCTGTTGGGCGGAAGAATACCGGCCCCCACACTGTTTTCCTTGTTCCATCCGAATTAGTGCTCAGCACTATGACTTCTTCTTCACGACCTGAAATCGGAAACTGGCGTTTTGAGTACACCTTCACGAAGTTTTCCAGCTCAACAATGGACGGTTTCGAAGCCATATTCGAAGCCATATTTAAAAATACTTCAGCGAGAAGTGCTGGTGCTTTCTGAGTACTTCAGTCGAGACCACTTTAAAAGCACCTCAATCCAAAGCTTTTGCCACCTGTGGCTTGTGAGATATCTTCAGCCTTCTGTTACGCTGTTTGGGTGTTATAAAACGAGGTTTTTGCAAGAATCTGATTCTTTTTAGGGTGGGTGGTTATCTCACTCTTGGAAACTACGAAAGTTTATTTTAGTTGCTAAGTCTTACTTGAGTAGCGCCGGGAAGTACAACCGTCTAGTCATGTCGCAAGACGTGTGTTTTTCATCACATCGCAATCAAATGTTAGGACTTACACACACGAGAATGCATGTTTTTTGAGCTGATGTGGTTCTCATGATACACTTTCTACAATTACCAGAAACCATTACAACGAGAGACTGGGAATAAAACTGCAAGGACTAATTCTAGGCATTAACTTAACGCGTGCACTGTGAATAGAAGTCAGAGGACTATCAGTAACCGTTAAAGCGTGGATTGGGAATAGGACGTAGAGATTCTCAAACGTTTCCCACCTTCTCTTCGTGTGAACCGCCTCACTTCTGAAGTAATACGTTGCATGTCATGGGAGGTGTCAGTACAAGTATCCATGGAAAATGTACCTGTATTGTTTTTACTTATTTATTTATGAATCTAGAAATTGCGACTTCGGCGGTAATAGTCGTGAAGTTGATTGTTCCAACTAGGAACACACGCTTCTTGCCGAACTTGACACTTTACTGACTTACGACTGCCATCCAGAGCACACAAGGAGCACGTCGCACGTTCCACTTGGCAAACCTGCAAGAAAGCACCACTCCCTGCTAAATACACGGTGTTTCGAAACAGTTGGAACAATGAATTTCATGACTATTACCGACGAAGTCGCTACTTCTAAGTTCGCATTGTTGTCTCTCACGCGGACGTGCGACTAGTTGTTGGAGGTGACAGCGTTGCGAATAGCTATACTGGCTCTCAACGTCTGTTTATCACAACTTCATGAGCGACTCTGACTCACGCTGCTACCTGGAGCTTCGCGAGGTGTTTGTCGCGTTGGAAACAAAGCGTCTCTGCAAGTTTGTATCCCTGGTGATGGGTTGGCCTGGAGAGCAGTATATAAGGGGTGCTTTTCAGGCCCAATTTTCCCCACGGAAGAAGAGAAAAAAGAAAATGAAGAGTAAGTACAAAAAGTGGGAAGGGATTAGCAAGTTACAAAGCAATGGGATGCTCAGGGAGCTATGCAGCGGAAGTGGGGACTGTGACTTTGTTTATTGGGAGATATTGAAGTGCTGTCTGACGAGGGTACGGAATTTGGGCATATCTGGAGCTTTTCTAACACTGGGAGGCAGTTGGAGCCACGTTGAGTAGGAGGAAAAGAAAGGGGAATTTACAAAATAGGGTAGGCCTAGCTAGGGGGAGACGAGTGCAGCTTCGCGTGGTACCATCTGAATTGAACCAATTAACGGACTGTAAATGAGCAGGGTGCTGGTCAAGAAAAATTGAATGTGCCAGGTTGCACTTGGAAGCATCAAGGTAGTGTTGCAGAGTGGTAGTGGATGCAGCAGCATACAAGTCTAGATTGGAGATATAACGATCAGTACGAATTATAGGGCGACGGAGAACTTCTAATTTGCCTATATGGGTTTTGTTAATGGTGGACCAGGCAGAGAAGTACGTGACGAGGGGAAGAATTTATAATTTATAAAAATTGATCCGGAAATTTTGGGGCGAATGGGACAAGTGACTTGACATTATGCCGACAGATCAGCATACTTTGG